AAAATTCCTTGGGAGGTCAAGGTTGGATTCGAAAGGAAATTCAAACATTTCTTGTGGAGTGGAAAACAAGATGTTAAAAAGATGTCTCAACTAAAATGGAGTCAAGTGACTCTTCCAATTTCAGAGGGAGGTTTCAACCTTGGAAGAGTTCAAGACATAGATGTAGCTACAAAAATGACCTTGTGTTGGGATTTTGTTCAGAAGAAAGATAAGCTTTGGATCAAATGGCTGCATGCAATGTACCTTCAAAGAGTTTCATTTTGGAATGCAGCCCCAAAACCAACTGATTCTCCTATTTGGAAGCAACTTTTAGGGGTTAGGCAGTTGATTTTACAAAATATTGAGTTTAGAATTGGAGATGGGTGAAATTCAAACTGCTTACCGACCCTTGGTGTGAAAACCAATCTTTAATCCAAAGATTTGGGGCTACTTTGTTTAGACAGGTGGACAGACAAGCTTTATTGGCAGTGATTATTGTTGATGGTAGATGGGAAAGGCCTAATTATATTCCTGAGAGAGTTTTTAATGTTATACAAAGGATAAGAATTATACCCGGTTCAGATATTATTGGCTGGAAGCATGGTGGCTTTTCTTTAAAATCAGCTTGGAATTTATGTAGGTATACACATCAAATTGTGAATTGGAGTGACATTTGCTGGAAGCATTGTAGACCTCGAATTGCTGTGGTGGTTTGCATTATTTTACACAACAAAAATTTATCTTTGGTGAATTTGCAGAAAAGAGGCATTATCTTAGCTGCAATCTGTCACAATTGTATGAGGAATGTGGATTCTAATGACCATTTGTTTTGTACTTGTATCTATGCAAATAAGGTCTGGACAGAGATTTTTTATTTGCTACATATAGTGTATCCAGGCTGTACTTCTGTGCTGCAGATGGTCGATTGGTTTGGTTTGCAAACCACTACCAATTCTACTAAATTAAAAGTGTTGAGTGCAATTTTTTCAACTGCTATTTGGTAAATTTGGGCTGTTAGAAATGAATCTTTGCACAAGGGAGGTCACGAGCAAGCCACAAATGTTGCTCAATTTATTGTTTGGGAGGTTCTATCTCATCTCAAGATTCGTTTGGAAGACTTACTTAGCCTTTTTTAATGTTGTTCAGTTTTGGTCGCTGATCAAGTGGAATTGGAGTTTTGTCTCATCGGATTTCAAGATTGATGTTTTGAGAAGACCTTTCAATTTCTTTGTTGTTGGTTTTTGCTGCTGGTTTGAGGAAGATTGTTGCAGAGATGCAAGCTCTAGAGCAGGATTTTTCTGTTTTATTTTGTTTTTGTTCCTTCTAGTTCACTCTAGGCCAGCTTGTTTTTCTTTTGCTGCTTTGAAAATGGACTTAGTCCATTACTTGCTTTGTACTAGAGGATGTCCTCCATGTTTTTGTAATTGTACTATTCGGTTTTTTCTTATATAAAACAAAAATCCCATTCAGAAAAAAAAAATAAAATAAAATAAGATAATGGTGGTATGTATCTTCATATAAAAATAAAATATAAAAAAAACCCTTAATTTGGCACTTTTAAGTATGAGCATAATTTAGAGATCGAAAAAGTTAAATTATTACCTCAACGGCTCAATCCACTAGAAGGGATCCTTAATTTTCGTAGGATTGAATGTGAAAATGCAAAAACTTATGAGGAAAAGGGGTATGATTGCTGCTGTTGTGAGATTGGAGTGGAATTAGGGAGAGGAAAAAAACAAAAAGTGCCTGCCATAGATTATGGACTCGATCCCCATGAAAGACACATGTACAAAGGCACACATTTATTAATACTCCGTATTTTTTTTCCATCCCCTATTGGTCTCAAAATTTGAGGCCCAAGGAGACCAAGACTTGTCCTAACTTAATTTTTTTTTTTTCATCCTTTATGGGACTCAAAATTTTGAGGCCCTCTAAAATTTGAGGCCCAAGGCCAGGGCCAGCCCTGGCCCCTGAGCTTCTCTCTGGTGCGGGCTTATGTTCTTCATTGAGGCTAAACCTAGCTACATGTCACGGGCCTAGAGATTTGGTGCAGCGGCACGGCCCGTGCGGCACCAAGGCGTTGCTTCAGCTCGCGCAAGCGCCCTGGTCAGCCACCACGACCTGCCCTCCCAAGGATACATGCTGACTGGTTTCGGCCTGCCATGGCCTCGTCAGGGGAACGGCTCCAGCTCCCGACCAGTTTGTGCAGGGATGGCCAACTCCCTTCTTCATAGTCAAGTCCAAGACTAGCGACAAGCACCTCGAACTGAACCGAGTCGACCTGCCTGAACTCTGAAGAGGTACCATCCTATGGTCCTGCACGCCCCTTCCCTGGAACCATTCCCAGTCAATGAATGTTCTTAGCCAACCAGCATGCGTATCTTCTATGCTCATGGCGTCGTTAGGAATCGGATCGTGACATTCTCCCCCACCCAAATCCTGCGACACCCTCGTCGCAGTGCGGCGCTGACTCCGCTGCGTCCAACTTTCCAAAGCCTGTTTCCTCCAAGTGGTATGCTCGCCTGCCCACCATCGCTTCCTTGTACAACCCCTGGCTGCACTCGCCCAATGATAGGGTTTCGGGCTAAAGGGACGCCCACTTCTTCGGGACGCAACCCCACGTTATGCCGCCTCCGCGACACCCCGAGCAAACAAGCGCCCTCCGGCTGACTTGATACCCGCCCTTCACAACGGTTTGCACGCCTCTTGAACTTGCAAGAACTTTGGTGCGCGCGGCCCTCCGGCCATCCGATGCACGCGGCCCTCCGGCTTAAAGGACGCATCTTCATGGGGAGATGGAGGCTCTACTCCAACAGCATTGATTACCCACCGACGCTTTTTCAGTGCACCGTCTTCATTCTCAAGACCCCCGGATCGACAAGGGGGCACACCTTTGTGCTTTTCCCCAAGTCCTGCTCTGATACCATTTGTCACGGGCCTAGAGATTTGGCGCAGCGGCACGGCCCGTGCGGCACCAAGGCGTTGCTTCAGCTCGCGTAAGCGCCCTGGTCAGCCACCACGACCTGCCCTCCCAAGGATACATGCTGACTGGTTTCGGCCTGCCATGGCCTCGTCAGGGGAACGGCTCCAGCTCCCGACCAGTTTGTGCAGGGATGGCCAACTCCCTTCTTCATAGTCAAGTCCAAGACTAGCGACAAGCACCTCGAACTGAACCGAGTCGACCTGCCTGAACTCTGAAGAGGTACCATCCTGTGGTCCTGCACGCCCCTTCCCTAGAACCATTCCCAGTCAATGAATGTTCTTAGCCAACCAGCATGCGTATCTTCTATGCTCATGGCGTCGTTAGGAATCGGATCGTGACATTCTCCCCCACCCAAATCCTGCGACGCCCTCGTCGCAGTGCGGCGCTGACTCCGCTGCGTCCAACTTTCCAAAGCCTGTCTCCTCCAAGTGGTATGCTCGCCTGCCCACCATCGCTTCCTTGTACAACCCCTGGCTGCACTCGCCCAATGATAGGGTTTCGGGCTAAAGGGACGCCCACTTCTTCGGGACGCAACCCCACGTTATGCCGCCTCCGCGACACCCCGAGCAAACAAGCGCCCTCCGGCTGACTTGATACCCGCCCTTCACAACGGTTTGCACGCCTCTTGAACTTGCAAGAACTTTGGTGCGCGCGGCCCTCCGGCCATCCGATGCGCGCGGCCCTCCGGCTTAAAGGACGCATCTTCATGGGGAGATGGAGGCTCTACTCCAACAGCATTGATTACCCACCGACGCTTTTTCAGTGCACCGTCTTCATTCTCAAGACCCCCGGATCGACAAGGGGGCACACCTTTGTGCTTTTCCCCAAGTCCTGCTCTGATACCATTTGTCACGGGCCTAGAGATTTGGCGCAGCGGCACGGCCCGTGCGGCACCAAGGCGTTGCTTCAGCTCGCGCAAGCGCCCTGGTCAGCCACCATGACCTGCCCTCCCAAGGATACATGCTGACTGGTTTCGGCCTGCCATGGCCTCGTCAGGGGAACGGCTCCAGCTCCCGACCAGTTTGTGTAGGGATGGCCAACTCCCTTCTTCATAGTCAAGTCCAAGACTAGCGACAAGCACCTCGAACTGAACCGAGTCGACCTGCCTGAACTCTGAAGAGGTACCATCCTGTGGTCCTGCACGCCCCTTCCCTGGAACCATTCCCAGTCAATGAATGTTCTTAGCCAACCAGCATGCGTATCTTCTATGCTCATGGCGTCGTTAGGAATCGGATCGTGACATACAGCTCGTCTCTTTTTCTCTTTTTGTAATAAACAAGCCTCTATGTGAAGACTAGTCAATATAGTAACCTTAATGAAGTGAAATCAGCAGCTAGTCTTCCCTTATATTCCGAACCAAACTTCAAGTCCTTTAGGTAGCCATACAAACAAACTCATCGAAGAAAAAATCTTGGCTAAGTACTCTTTTATTAATTAAATTTTATTCAGTTTCACACCCTACCGTAGACACCTAACCTCAATTAAAAGTTCAACCTAACCTCAATAAATAATAGTTAATTTGCGTGTGCATGTGCAAGTACAGGCCATTTTCATGTATAATACCTATTACCCACTACATGTGAATGGCCATAAATTATGCATTGTTGTCGATAACGTGATTGCCTAATGTATAAACTTCACGTACCATTCTTAGTTGCGCTAATAAATTCATGATGACAAAAATATAGCTAATTGATGTCACCTTATGACATGAGCATGTTGCTAATTAGCTTAAACAATAATGGAGTACGCATGATCTATGTTAGTAACTTAGTTTAATCATCTAAAACTCAAAAAGACTTGAAAAATAAAAATAAAACGTTTACTTTACTTCATTTCACAATTCAACAACCATCTATGTCGAGATCTAAGTTGCTGTCATTAGTATATAAATGAGCACCATCCAAGGCCCCTGAATCCAACTGATCTAAGCTGTTTCTCAACTATGACAAGCCTATTATTATGTATGGCCTTTCTCCTCCTTGAGGCTGGTGTGGTGCAAAGCCGGTTTTTAGGACTCAACTCCATATCAAAAGTAATGGTCTCAGATGGAGTAGATCATCTTGACGATCCATCTACAATAATTCTTGGTTCCGAAGGCTTGTTCTCATCTTCATCAGAAATCTGCTACCACTTCTATGGATTTTTTCCATGTGCAGACAACATCTCAGGCTACATATTTCAAATACTGATCTATCAGTACTTGTTGGTTGTTGGGGAAAAATTTCTAACAAAGGGTAGCAAGTGGCTGTTCAACATATTTGGCACTGGCATATTTGGTGCTACTATTTTTCGCATCCTTATGGTGCTACCAGGAGTAGTGGTAGTTCTCAGTAAGTCCCCCATCTCTTCCTTGTTCATTTGCCAATTTTCTGATCCTTGTTATGTGGACTTGATCTATTTTTTATTTAGGTGTTATCAGTCTAGGTGACTTCCAAAATAGGATTGTCCATTTTTAAATTATGTAGTGCATGAAACTAGAAGGGATTCAACCTATATATGTTTCACCTTTAATCTGGTGGGATCAATTCATAAAATATATACATATCCAGCCTAAGTGAATGAGTCCCACAAAACATTGTAGTTCTGTTATACATGGTCTATTAAATGAACTCTGATCTTCTCGATTCAATGTGCGCATGCAGTATCTGGACTTTCTGGCAACAAAGAGAGTGCTCAATCTTTGGTGGTGATGGGAGTTGGAATGCTAGTTGGAACAAGTGTTTTTTGTCTTACATTGCAGTGGGGAACATGTGTTATCTTCGGCAGAAAAGAGTTCAAACCAAAATCATCAACTTCCCTAGATTCACAACCGTCAACTTCAAAATGTTTGCTGGTTGGAGAAAAACTATCACACTTAACTGGTCTGTTTCTTTTACACCAATGAATTTGCCTCTGTTAAATTGGTTCAACTTGGAATGTATATCATCGTTCATATGTAAACCAGTGCTGAGTCACTTTCTCTCCCTAGATGGATTCACAGGTTCTGGTATTACAACTGATAACAAGACTAGCTATACAGCAGGATTTATGCTCCTGTCCTTGATCCCATTTGCTATAGTGCAACTATCCAATATCTTTGAAACATCATCCGGGAGTCGCGTGGTGATTCTGAGTGCACTTGTAGTATCAGTGGCATTGCTACTCTCATACTTTGCATATCAGGTACTTAAATAAAAATCTGATGCTGATTTTTTCCATTGATTCGCATTCCTAATCTTCAATGCATATATATATATATCGATTTTTGTTTACAGCTTTACGATCCATGGATTCAAGAAAGAAGTTTAGAATACACAAAGTATGAAAATCTGCTGCTCGGATTTTTGCAGCATGTGCAAAGGCATGCAAAAGGAAATCTCCTTACAGAGGAAGGGGCACCTAACATTCCTGTGATCAAAAGGTTTATCTTTTTATCACATATATATGCATTGTGTGTGTGTGTGTGTGTCTGTGCAAAGCCATGGAAGATCTGAAGGTCACTTTGATATATATCAAGTTTGATATTAAGTTATTTACTTCCTCATTTGATAAGTTACTTCCTCATTTGATAGCTGCAGATGTGAAGTTATGGAAGAAATAAAATAATATCAGCTCTAATAGTACCACCAGGACAGAGGACTACCTTTCTAGTCCTACCTCTGAAGTTGCTAATTTTCAAATTTATCTTGCAGATTATTCAATCAAATTGATAGAGATGCAGATAAATGCATAAAACGTACAGAAATGGAAGATCTGATGCAGGAAATTCAAACTGGAAATGTGCTGTTAGACAAAGAATTCTCAATTTTTGAAGCATTTGACTCGAACAAGGATGGAATGATTAATGAAGAAGAGTTCATCAAGGGATGCGAAGAGGGGATAAATAGAGCCAAACAGAGAGTTGAAGGTGGAGATTCTAAAGCAAGAAAATCCTTACAACAGGCAAGCAACCTAATTGTCACATAATGGAAGTAGCAACCTCTGTTTAGCTAACAGAAGTGGCAACTTCTTCCATCCTTTGGGCATTCCCATTGATCCTTGCAGAAGTCGAATATTAGACTGCATTGTACTATTGTTTCGATCCACGTCTTATTTACAGTAATCATACCCATCCCTTGGCCAAGTTATTGAAAAGATGCAAAGAAAATTGAAAATTAATCTTACAAATTACAATATCATACCAAAATTAAAAAAAAAATAGAAGCCTCCTTGATATAATTGCACAAGGTACCACGTCTATACAACTTCACTAATAATTATTGGTAATTAGATTTTTCTTATGGAGGAAAATTAGTTTGAGCATCTGTGCAGGTTGTTCAGCCATGGATTAATAAGAGACGACTTGAACTTACAAAAATTGAACGTCTTATGGCAAGAATTTTGAAGCACGTCCATTATGAAGTACTTGAAGCCAGAGGCCTCCTCACTCATGATGGAAGACCTAATCTAGATCACATAAAAAGGTTCATTTTTAACATTTCATCTAGTTTTTTCTTTGATTTTGGTGAATATTTTCTTTATATTATTTCTTATTACAAAAATTATTTTGGCAGCCTCTTTAAGCAGTTGGACAAAAGTAATGATGGATATATAGAGCAATCTGAACTAAAAGAACTGATTCAAAATGTTAACTTCGGAATAGAACTGGACCATAATGGGGTGGTGGCAAAAGTGATGAAGGAATTTGATGAAGATGGTAACCTTATGATAGATGAGAAAGAATTTGTCAATGGAATCGGGAAATGGATTAATGAGGCTTCCCGTGTGTGCAGATGCAAGGACTCAAAAAGGTTTATTGATGAATTTGATCAGGTAGTCGTTACAAGTTTACAACTCATTTGTTATTGATTTAGTCATGTTAGACTTTACACAATTTTGTAGTTCCTAAGTTAATATGAGCTTGCCATTGAATTTTTTTTCTTTCTGAAAGGTAGTTAATCTTCACTCCATGTTTTGTAAATTCAATTATTGCATCACAAAATCTTGCATTTGAATCTGCAGATTACTTGGAAACAGTGGAAAGAAATTGACTCATTGGTCTATGGGGTGGAAAATAAGGAAGGCATCATTGATAAGTTTTTATCATGGGATTGCATAAAGGCGGTATTGCTAGTCATCTTGGGCATTGCAATTGTTACTTTTCTTGCAGGGCCTCTGGTATATGCTGTCTATAACTTATCGGTTGCAGTTCACATACCTACTTTCTTCATCTCTTTTGTGGTTATTCCTTTGGCCTTGAATGCTCGAGTGGCAGCATCAGCCATCTTTCCTGCAAGTCAAAAGAATTCGAAAATTGCTTCCTTGACATTTTCAGAGGTTTGTCTCTTAATTAGTTTCTTCTATTACAGTGATTTTTAGTTATTTTACAGATTTTCAATTTGGGAGAACTTGAGGCATTCAATTTGTTGATTTGCAGATCTATGGTGGAGTTGCTATGAACAACATAATGAACTTGTCAATATTTATAGCAGTTATATATATAAAAGGCTTGACATGGAACTTTTCAAGTGAAGTGCTTGTTGTTTTGGTGGTTGGTGCCATTATAGGTCTGGTTGCGTTCTTGCGCTCCACCTATCCTCTCTGGACTTGTATTTTAGCATTTTTCTTGTATCCATTCTCTCTGGCGCTGGTTTACGTTCTTCATTTTGTATGGGAATGGAACTGAATTCTATAGAGTTGTATCTTAGTATTGTTTTCTTTGTATCTGCTTCACTCTGGTGCAGGCTAGTCTCTTTTTCTCCTTCTGTAATAAAACAAGCACATCTTGGAAGTTTGATTTAGTTTTCAATCTCATTTGGCTATAGAATTTCATTTATTTACAAGGAGTGAAGCAGCAAATGTGAACTACGAACATGAAACTACATGCAGCACACTTTATCCACTCCATTGTGTAACCAAGGCGTTTCTAATGCTATCTTGTGATTTAACACCCCCATTTCTCCACCACTGTCTATAGACTTACAGAATTTTGTTTTGTGGTTCAGAAAAATGTATAATGGTGTTGGTTAAAATCACAAACCAATACTTATCTGCACAGAAAGCTTTTGTTCCCAGGTCACAAAGTGCAGGGCTTTGTTTGGTTCAGTGAAAATATAAGATTTTGGAAGAGCTTTCTTTTCCAGTGAGCTGGTATTCAACGAGCATTAAATAGGAAAGCATAACTCTTCTGGTAGAGTGCAGGAACTAGGAAGCCTGCAACCAGCTTCTATAAATATGCCTCAAATTGTAGACGCAGTTTTTCTCTTTCTTTCTTTCTTTTTTTTTTTTTTTTAATTAATTTATTATTATATTCAAAATTGAGATATATTTCAAGAAGGGAAAAGAAATAAGAAAAGAAAAGGCAGAGTTCAAACTTAGTACACATCATATGTTCAAGCCTGACTTTTAAGAATTATTGTCTTAATATTTCCTTCGACTCCAGTATGAGAAAAGAGCCAAATACATAGGAATGCAGCTGCAAGGAGGAACTGCCTTCCATGTTAGACTTCAACATCTCAAATAATTTCATTTGTTACTACTAATAAGGACTATACCAGATCAGAAATTGCATTTTGTAGCATCAGCAATCATGTATGAGATAAGATCTACAAAAAACGAATCAAGACTAGTATAATCAAAACCCTTCGGCTATATAATAATTTATACCAAATTGTGTGCATATCTTGTAAAGCACAAATACAACTGAACAAAAACTTCATACAGAGCACAATTGAACAAACAACTAACATATTGTGGTCACATGGGGTATACTTAAAGAAACATCTGACTTTACCATATCAAACTATTGAGAATGAATTAGGAGATGAAATGCCCACTTGATTTGTTTTCTTGGATAAACGGAACTATTGTTCTCCATCTGAGCTACCCACTGACATCTTCAGATTGCGATCAACGCTATCCTCTCCGGACTCGCCTCTGCTATTGTCCAAGTTTGAGGTTGTCTCTGTGCTGTCCACTTGCTCCTTCAGTGGTAGAAAGCTATAAAATGGTTTTTGCGGGCTTGAGCGACCTTGTCCTGACCACTCCTGTAGATCATATCTGCTTCCCTTCAAAACATTTGATATAAAAACACACCATAAGTAACTGCAATTTAGTTAAAACATCAATTTGCAATATCGAAAATCAAGCAGGTTAAATATAATTTTAATGTACGCTTTACTTGAAAGGGAGGAAAATTGAATTCAGAAAGTTCATCATAGGAAGTTTGTGTCGAATGCAACGAAGTTGCTGGAGGGCCTAATGTGAGGAAATTGGCATCGAAAGTTCCACAATCTGTAATGACCTTCTCTGAATTAGGCTGAGACTGCCTTCCCTTCTTTGCATCTCTGTTAACAGCAAAAGTAATGTGACCTAATAACACAAAACTAAAAATGAGCAGAAAGTGAAAAACAACTACTAACACACCTGAAGTTTGTTTTGTGCATTTGGGAGAAACACGGAGGAACATTTGGGGGAAGAGAACACAGCTGATCCTCTCTGTAGCAAAAGGCCGTCTCCGCTGAGTCCATCTATATCATGTAGTAACCAAATTTTGCCATAAAAGTTTGATCTCAATTTCACCATTTTCCTTTCCCTCTTAAGTAGTAAAACAGAACCAGCTAAATTCCTTCAAAATTAGTGAAAATTTCAACTGCAGAAAAAACCCATTTATCCATTTTCTGTTCCTTTTAAACAGTGAAACAAAATCAACAATATTCCAACCAAATCAATGAACTAGAAAAAAGAGCCTAAAAACAACCATACACGATAGAAAATGTATTACAAATTAAATAAGTACTTTACAAAAGCCAGGCAAGCACATAAATATAGTTGGCAAGTAAAAATCTTGCATATACCTTCTTTTCCTCTGACCACATATGTAACGACCCTAAACTAAAACCATTTATACAAAAATTTCGGCATGACTTTCCCTAAAAGTGGTCCTTCAACAACCTGTCCCAATACACAAAATAAAAAAATATACTCCAGCATCCCATTCATTATACCTCAACATAGTTCCTCTCGTAGTAGAACATGCACACACCAATTAATCCAAATTATCATAATTACAGTCCCAAAATATATGGTTAAGATCTAAAGTCCATGTCTTACAACGTTACATGATACAATTACATGGAAATATATACCATGATTCCATTAGTTTCATTTACATTAAACAAAAGATAAGTTCGTTCTTAAATTACAAGGCCATGAATACTAACTTAGTTACATTTCCACAACTATGAATATACATAGAATGGTCAAAATACAAAATAGCAAACAACCTTCTAATAACTTTCAAGTTTGCGGAGGATTGTCATCCGCCGTTTCTTTGCCATGACCTGAAAAAAATAATAAGTATGTAGGGTGAGCTATATGCTCAGTAGGTGACACTTAAAACACGCATCTTGTGTCCCCGTGAATCCAAACATAGAATAGGTCAATGGGAATGTGGATCATACAATATCGGGATAATACAACATTCCAACCAAACTCAAGTACAAACAATGCAATGCCATGAAATGCGAATGCATGCCGATGTCGCTCCCCGTTTTCACATTTAAAATCCATCACTTTCAAACTGTTAATATAACCCGCCCTTTGGTGACCCCGCAGCGACACGAGAGGAGATTTGGCTAGTGTCCCTGACCCTTGGTACCCCCGCAGCGTCATTATGGGCCTAGCTAGCTCAACCACGCTAGGGCGACTCCCTAGTCCCCTCTAGGCTATATTAACACTCCGGTCCTTTGGTACCCCCGCGGCGACCGGGTTTTCCAAAAACACTTTAATCAAAATACTTTCCCCCAAAACTCCCTATTTTCATTTCAAAAACAATCTTCCCAATCATGTCTCATGGTATGCATGTACATCATGTTCTTAATGCCATGGAAGTGAAAGCTTTCACATTATACAATTGTACATACATTACAAGTACTCTAGGGAAATTACACATGCCATCCCATATCATTCTAGCAAGTTCTACAACAATATAAGCATGGTAAATCAATTTATCAAACAAGGAAATTAGTCAAATAAACATGTTCTCATACAACTCAAGTAACACATTTAATCATAACCTCACATATAACACTTACATCATCTTTAATACAATTAATTCAAAAATAAGCATGCTTTTCAACAACTTAGGAGGTATAATTCACAAAAGAGCAAGAACATCATGAGTTAAGGGCCCCTACCTCAAGATTGTACAAAACCCTTAAAATGGGTCTCTAAATTCGAAGGCCAAGGGGAGACCAAAAGCTGAAATTGATGGTACAACCGCGTAGACCTCGTCGTGCTCTTCGAAGAGCCTCAAACGGCTTCCAAGTATTCCAATTAATGAGAAGAAACCAAGCTTGTAAATGATGGTAAAAGAAAATAAAAAGGGAACTGAGAGGATAGAGCGAGAGAACGTAATTGAGAAGAGAGAAAATGAGAGTCTGATATGTGAATTAAGTCATTTGTAATGACTTTGGTACAGGTGGGTCCCACTGTCATATAAAAATATCTCATTTGCTCCCCACTATGTTGGCTGCCATCTCCTCATGATCAGACAAGAGATATATATATATATATATATATATATATATATATATATATATCATATGTATTTATAAAATTTAACTAAACCAAATCCCATTAATATTTTTTTTTGTGGGTCCCGCGGCAACACATTACCAATCTCTCTTATTCTTCTTCACTCAATTCCCACAGCTGGCACTTGGTAGCAAGCTTCTCAGCTCCATTTGATATCATATATATATATATATATATATATAGATAACAAAACTAAATTATCCCATTAAACATCACAAGTGGGTAAAATCTGCAACCACAATTAGATAATTAATTATGGTAACCAAAAATATAATGAAATGAATTAAAATCTTAGAAAATTGGGTTGTCACATTCTCCACCACTTAAAAAGAATTTCGTCCCGAAATTCAGATCCAACAGTTTCCGCATACCCGAAAACATCCAATCCCAACTTATCCCTTAAAGGATACACAAAACCCCATACAAGGAATCCCGTTTGTTGCACAATCAAGCTCAAACTCAATTCCACCCATCCGTGTCAGACCAAGCACTCGCTATATACCGCATAGCTACTCTATCGCATAACCGTACTAGCGACTACCAACCACACTATATGACAATCATCATACTTAACAACTTCAAGTTGATTAAACAATGAGTCTCCCAATGACTACATAAACATTAGTCACCAAATTAGTAAAATGCACCATCGTGTACCCAGGACACAAATCCTCAAAACAAGATCTTTAATAATCAATGATCGTACCGCAAACCCCTTATCGGACACTTGGTCATACCTAACACACCTCGTCACCCGAGACAAACCATTTGAATCCACCCTGTCACACCGACACATTGCGCAATACCGTACTCTCACTGTTCCTAACAAACTAAAACAATCATGGACCTTTGACCCAACATCGTGCTAAAGATGGAAATGACTCAAGAGAAATGGTTGGTCAGGCCATTCTTATCATTGATTCGATCTCAACACATATGTCGTTCTTGTCCTCAGGTCTAATCCTCAAACACAACCCCATACAGTCCACAAAACAACCGCGAAATCCTCCCTCTAATCAATCTGTCACTCTACATAACCTCGACAACTATACAGTCACCTACCAGCTCTAAAAATCCCAATCGCACATTAATCACATAACCCCTAACAAGCTGGAAACAATACGGCACCAAACGTCACAAATATCAACCAGCATAAAAGATCTCTAATCTCCTCATAATACCCATACCAGGTAAACGACTCCATGTCACCATTCGGTTCAATTCTTACCTCTTCAGAATACTCAATACGACCGTCTCATACCTGAAATCTTAAAACCAAAGTCAATCATCCCTACTATTCCTCAATAGAATCACACATTCACTTTCTCTAATCATAAAATTCTAAAGCAATATCGACACTTATCCTCAAGACACTGCTCAAATTAAACGCTCATAAAAACATCCGAGTATATGACTCACATCCCATCACTTAATCATCCTTAGACTGCGATTCACGACACATTTCCTAGCCATCACCGCTAGTACTAAACATCGGAAACACAACCCCTATTCGGTAACCCGTGCCTTACATCCTACCGGTCAAAACCACTCTTAAAAGAAATACTACAAAAACCAAAGACTCCACCTCCCTCCGTGGGAGTGAGTCGACTCCTTCAATTAGGACCTCAATCGATAAACTCCAATATCGTAACAAACCGTTCACAATTTCGTCCGCCCACGGATGTGCACAACTCCTAGATGGAGAACAAGTCTCACGACGAACGACATCCTTACCAGGACTAGAACAAATGGAAATGGTAATGAACCCCTCTCACAAGACACTGACAACTCACACTTGAATGCACCTAACACCCTGTCACACGTTACTCACCAATCATTTAACCGTGGACACCTAATTTCACCTGAGATGAAATGAACTTTTTACACACAAGGAGAAGAACCAATTGGAAACACATATGGGACTACGGACATAATTCTAGGTGACCTCGCCACTTAAGGACTGTCAAACACAAACTTGGAACCTCACATACACTACGTCGCGATACTCATGCCAACCAAAACCAACCAGATAAGAGCATTAATGCTCACGACACTCGATCACTAGAAACAATCATAGCACTTTGGACACCGTGTTCCGTCCCATCTGGAAACCGTCACTCCCAAATGACAACCTCATAAAATGACACTTTACCACCTATTCCACCTTCACCCTTCAAAACGACATTACCTCGAACACCGAGCACGCTAGACCCATGACCTCAGTCACAACAGTCCACTGACTCCTTAAAAGAAAAAAAAAAAGTGCCTATCCGGCAACACCGCTCTCGCTAGTTCTAAAAACTGAGCCATCCACAATTACCTCAATTGGCCCACAATCCCATCACTTACCTGACAACATACAACAACACTCACAATTCTAATCCATCATCTGATCGTACCTGAAACCATTATGCTCATCAATACTAAACATCACGTCATGACGCCCCTATTGCCACTCATTCGAAACAACGGTTCAAACCTATCACCCCACCAGACCATCAAGCCACAACTAAGTGATTCTTCTTCAAACATCCTTAAGGTAACATCATCAAAACAAGAAATAACCATTCCTCTCGATACTCCCCCCACAACAACCACTATTTACCACTAGCAAAGAACCTCCATACTGTAATGTCATATCGACAAATCCTTAAAACAAAAATGAACATAAAGACCAGAATGCTCAACACTCAACTATCACCTCAAAACCATCAATGATGCCATCAATCATTAACACTTAATCGATAACTTAATCCACTCCTTCTAAGGCGATCTACGTGCCTAAATGAGAAAACCTCATAGTTTAGGTTCAACGTCACTAGCTCCCTTCTTCACTGTTCCTTAGAACATTATTAGCCTCGACAAAAATCAAATGGTCTACCAACTAAGCCTACAAGATCAACCTCATTCCACTCGTTCTTATCATCAATCTACCTTTCCGGATCCTCAAACACCGAGCATTATCTCCTGATACGCCAAACACAATTGAAATACAACCCGAATCCACAGCTTTCAAATTTTAAAACACAATTCATTTGATAACGCCATACTCACCAGCTATCACTTCATCCATAAACAACCAAACTCTCCATTGACCCCAGACTACCTGCCTTATCGTGCAACCCTACATTACACAGCTAAAACTGACCACTATACCTCACCTCGAGACCTTCTAGATAGTCGTGTCAACCCAAAACCCAGCTTATCGACTGAGCCATGCAACCGACTCATCAAGAGTTGATTACCCGCAACACATTCCTGCAACTATCTTAAACGAGAATCACTCCTCAACAAACCAGTCTCCAAAACAGATTCCTTTAAGACCATGAAATGATCTACATCCAACAACCGGTCCTAAGTCACCATAGACCTACAGGGTCTAACAAGTTCCCATGATAATCAAAACCAACACACTTCCTTAAGCCGTTCCAAAATGTTCGAGATACACCTTTACAATCCATAGACTACACTCGTGACTCAGACAACCCCCGTCACACTTACCACGATCGGTTCGAAAGGAACCTCCACATCAATCCGTGACCTAAGTTACAAACACTGACCTCCTAAGGTCATACTGAAACCCTCACTCGTACACTTGACCTCCACGATCACTAGAACCCGTACACCAATATATGAAACTCACACACAACAAGGACACCTTGCCATGAAATATGAACCCGTTCTAAAGTCGTGCTCTAAGCACTGCACAAAATGCAACTATAAGATAAAAATAGCTACACACCAAATAGCTTAATTCACGAGCAAAAAGACCAAGCCATCCATTCGATAAGAACAGGTACCCAACAACCCTGGAGCAATCGAGCTCCTCGCCATCACAGGTCAAACTCACACAACTATCCCATTCTCGACCGCATAAACATATAAGAATACAGGTATGTTCAAAAAAACATACTTATATATATACACAATAACCGTAGCATAAACCTTGACACGACCATGTCTTATCACATAAGTTTAAACTATAAGTCCATTTAATAATTAGGTGAAATTAAATATCCTTTCCATCTTCATCATCATTTCATTTACTACACACTTACATAATCCATGTTCACAGCTTGCCATCTTATCACGTATAAATACATTCCCATTTTATTTTCAAAGTCGGATCATATAACTATTTCACATGCATGGCCAAGTAACATAAATTTTAGCATTTAAAACACGTAAACACTTAGCAATTAGGTATGCCCTCAAAACTGTAAACATATAAGCATGTGATCACATAAACAAATAAACAAGTAAACAATTAAGCATGTTTTTCAAACATTTAAACACTTTAACTCGTAGCACATAATCAGGCAATTCAACTTCCTCATGCAAACCTAAGTAGGCCTCTACCTGTTGTCCTAATGGTATTCGACCCATTGCTCTGATACCAAATTTGTAACGACCCTAAACTAAAACCATTTATACAAAAATTTCGGCATGACCTCCCCTAAAAATGGCCCTTCAACAACCTGTCCCAATACACAAAACAAAAAAATATACTCCAGCATCCCATTCATTATACCTCAACATAGTTCCTCTCATAGTAGAACATGCACACACCAATTAATCCAAATTATCATAATTACAGTCCCAAAATACATGGTTAAGATCTAAAGTCCATGTCTTACAACGTTACATGATACAATTACATGGAAATATATACCATGATTCCATTAGTTTCATTTACATTAAACAAAAGATAAGTTCGTTCTTAAATTACAAGGCCATGAATACTAACTTAGTTACATTTCCACAACTATGAATATATATAGAATGGTCAAAATACAAAATAGCAAACAACCTTCTAACAACTTTCAAGTTTGCGGAGGATTGTCATCCGCCGTTTCTTTGCCATGACCTGAAAAAAATAATAAGTATGTAGGGTGAGCTATATGCTCAGTAGGTGACACTTAAGACACGCATCTTGTGTCCCCGTGAATCCAAACATAGAATAGGTCGATGGGAATGGGGATCATACAATATCGGGATAATACAACATTCCAACCAAACTCAAGTACAAACAATGCAATGCCATGAAATGCGAATGCATGCCGATGTCGCTCCCCATTTTCACATTTAAAATTCATCACTTTCAAACTGTTAATATAACCCGCCCTTTGGTGACCCCGCAGCGACACGAGAGGAGGATTGGCTAGTGTCCCTGACCCTTGGTACCCCCGCGGCGTCATTATGGGGCTCAACTAGCTCAACCACGCTAGGGCGACTCCCTAGTCCCCTCTAGGCTATATTAACACTCCGGTCCTTTGGTACCCCCGCGGCGACCGGGTTTTCCAAAAACACTTTCATCAAAATACTTTTCCCCAAAACTCCCTATTTTCATTTCAAAAACAATCTTCCCAATCATGTCTCATGGTATGCATGTACATCATGTTCTTAATGCCATGGAAGTGAAAGCTTTCACATTATACAATTATACATACATTACAAGTACTCTAGGGAAATTACACATGCCATCCCATATCATTCTAGCAAGTTCTACAACAATATAAGCATGGTAAATCAATTTGTCAGACAAGGAAATTAGTCAAATAAACATGTTCTCATACAACTCAAGTAACACATTTAATCATAACCTCACATATAACACTTACATCATCTTTAATACAATTAATTCAAAAATAAGCATGCTTTTCAACAACTTAGGAGGTATAATTCACAAAAGAGCAAGAACATCATGAGTTAAGAGCCCCTACCTTAAGATTGCCCAAAACCCTTAAAATGGGTCTCTAAATTCGAAGGCCAAGGGGAGACCAAAAGCTGAAATTGATGGTACAACCGCGTAGACCTCGTCGTGCTCTTCGAAGAGCCACAAATGGCTTCCAAGTATTCCAATTAATGAGAAGAAACCAAGCTTGTAAATGATGGTAAAAGAAAAGAAAAAGGGAACTGAGAGGATAGAGCGAGAGAACGTAATTGAGAAGAGAGAAAATGAGAGTCTGATATGTGAATTAAGTCATTTGTAATGACTTTGGTACAGGTGGGTCCCACTGTCATATAAAAATATCTCATTTGCTCCCCACTATGTTGGCTGCCATCTCCTCATGATCAGACAAGAGATATATATATATATGTATCATATGTATTTATAAAATTTAACTAAACCAAATCCCATTAATATTTTTTTTTGTGGGTCCCGCGGCAACACATTACCAATCTCTCTTATTCTTCTTCACTCAATTCCCACGGCTGGCACTTGGTAGCAAGCTTCTCAGCTCCATTTGATATCATATATATATATATATATATATATATATATATATATATATAGATAACAAAACTAAATTATCCCATTAAACATCACAAGTGGGTAAAATCTGCAACCACAATTAGATAATTAATTATGGTAACCAAAAATATAATGAAATGAATTAAAATCTTAGAAAATTGGGTTGTCACAACATAGAACTATAGTTATCGATTTTTTGGTTTGAAGGGAGTTCTGTATGATGATTCAGTCCAGAGCATAGTGGGGAAAATGATGATATAGTGGAGGACGAAGAAACTTTCATCTGAAAAATGAAATTAAATTTCATGACACTTCAAACAAAGAGTGAATCACATTTAACATCAAATAGAAAAAAAGAAACAAGATTACGTACAAATTATTTTATTACCATTGAAGATGGGTACTGAAAAGGTTCGCTTTGCAGCAGAGAAGAGGAAGGCTGAATCAGATCATATTTGTCTGCAAAATACATGGGAAATGGGAACCCTGAATCCAATATGGGAAAATCTTCATTCCCAACCGACCCACTAATGTCACAGACACCACCAACAAAAATGCTACTATCACTACTACCACAAAGGGTTGTCATTGGCAGAGAAAGTGGATTACTCTGTATGGTTACTGAATTAGTCCAAGAGAGATTGTTCATTGTTGTCATAGTTAGTTTATTTTTTGTATTTTCTTCAATCTTGTTGTGTTGATCTCTCAAAATCTTCTCAAGCTGTGCAACTCCAAGCCTTCTTCTCGGTGGTGCTTTGGGGAGTTTGGGTTTCTTGCAACGACGACTCGAACCACCACCACCACCACCCTTCTGGTTCTCTCCTTGTTCATCCATCAATGTATCATCACTGAAACTACACATAAAACTTTCAAATAGATTCAGAAATTCGGAGAATAAACATAAAGTCACAAACATGAAAGAAAAAAGAAAAAATCAAAAATCAAAATAACTAAGGAGTAGAAGGCGGCTAACCGATGGTACAAAAAAACACACAGATAACAAGCCCCCTGCCTTGTGTTCAACAATGGTGAAATATAGAGAGAGAAAATGATAGGAGAGAGAAAGATGATTTGTGAGTTGGAGTGTTTTATCAGCCCGTCAACTCTAGTGTTCATTAGAAATGTTGTATGGTTTCTTTGTATACACAGAGAGTCACGCACACGCACACGCACACTTGCTGTATATTATGTGGTATATAAACACATGATGACCCATTTCCTTCATATCACTATCAGGTTTAAAGGTACTAGCTACAGGCTAATTATGATCTATCCCAACAGATATTGTCCATTTTTGTTCTCCTTTTCTGACCGAAAAATTTCTAAAAATCTTTGCATTAATACATGTTCTTTTTGCACTTTTTGATGGACGACCCCCAATGCATGGAACCTTAGTGTCATGGGCTTAGAGTTTCAGCACCACTCTAGTTGCTCCCGTGCGGTACCAAGACGTTACTTCTACTCTCGTAAGTACTTGGTCAACCTAACTCCCGTGCACACCTTAGCCAACACACTCCCCTCATGCGCTTACTAGTGTTGTAGTGGCCCTCGCCCTCTCCTCACTTGGCTTGCACACTCACACATACTAAGGCACTTAAGTTGACAAGGGAAGGACACTTCCATTACTTCAAAGAATGCTTTGTACAAGGTTAGCTCTCAAACTCTCTACAAGGCTCTCAAGACTCACTCTAAGACTTGTTGCCTACAAAATGAAGTCCTACCTCTATTTATAGGCATCCCCATCCCTAATGGATAGCTATGATGCATTCTAACTAACGGTGGAGATCGATTCTCTAGAATCTTTTCTCACATTCTTCACACTTCCATACTTATCTACAAGTATAGTTCCACACAATTCTAGAGAATTTTAGAATATACTCCACATATCTAGAATCTTCCACACAACTCTAGACAACTTCGGAAGACTCTAGAAACTGCACTCGCCATGTAGTTGCCATACAACGTCCTCCTCAGTGTCTACGTGTCGCCTGCGTGGCACAACCCCCATAGGCGGGGCGTGACATTCTCCCCCACCCATTTCCGTGATGCCCTCGTCACGGTTTCTTCAGCTGACCCAGCCTCTCGTAAGTCATCAGCATGTGCGTATATGTCCTTGGCCCAAACGTACGCGCGCCCTTCGGGAGATGTGAGCTCCTCACGAGCTCCATCGTGTTGACTACCACCTTTGGACTCTCTTTCTTGCCCACAAGCGGCACCGTGCATGCGGCTTTGCCTTCCTCGCCTCCAAGTATCATTAACACACCAAGGTACGGTAGTGGTGCGGCATTGTTCCTGTCCATGAACTCCAGCCCTAGCACCATGTCGTGGTCGCCCATCTCCGCAACCTGGAAGTCGGCCTTGCCTTCCCACCCTTGCATGCATAACTCTACCTCTTTGCACACTCCACTCACGCGTGCCTCCTCGGAGTTGACGGCTTTGATCCAGCCCTCCGTCTTGCGCATCTCCAAGCCAAGTCGCTACGCCTCCTCTGGGGTAATGAAGTTGTGTGTGGTGCCTGTGTCCACCAACACTTGTACGGCTTTGCCACTAACCTGCGCATCCACATAGCGCACCCCAGTTACCTTCTCCGCCTTGCCCTTCGTCTTGGTGTTATGTGCTATACTACTCAACATCTGCATAGCCTCCATGCACCTGTCTTCGTCGCTACTTGCATTGTCCACCTTGCTCTTGCCCTTATCCTTCACAAGGGCGCTCATGGTTTTTTGTTTGGGTAGTGTCGCAATATGTGCGGCCCTTTGCACAAGTAGCACTTCGGCTCCCATTTGCCCTTGTCGCGGCGCTCCCCTTTGCAACTAGCCTTGGACTTCTCACCATGGTCCTTGCCCTTATTATGGGGTGGGCGTTTCTCCTCATCGCTGTGCTCATCATCACTGGACTTGGGCGAGCCCCCTTTCTTAAAGCGCCGGTCTCCCCCACCTTTGCTGTGGTCCCTCCTAGGAGACGTGGCCCTCTTGTCATTGCGCCTAAAGTCTTCAAGGCGCTCCGCTATAGCCATTGCGGATGCCAAGTCTCTAGGCTCCTTCATTCTCAGCTCTGTAGCTACCCAAAACTGCAATCCATCAATGAACAAGCACACGCATTGCCGCTCCGGCATCTCTGGGATCTCTAGCATCAGGTTGAAGTACTCCTTCACATACTCCCTTATGCTGCCCTTCTGCTTCAGGCGCCTTAGGTTGATCATGGCGAGGTCCTCGACACACTCGGTGTAGAACTGCCTCTTGAGCTGCTTTTTGAACTCCTCCAATGTGTCAACCGCTCTTGTGCCTCTATCGGTGAAGCGCTGCCTCCACCATAGAGCGGCAGTGTCCATGAGGTACATAATGCCTGTTTGCACCTTCTCCTCATCATCCTCGATCTCTATGCACTCGAAGTACCGTTCCATGTGCCAGAAGAAGTTGTCGATCTGGAGCGCACTCCTTGCCCCATCGTACTCCTTGGGCTCCTGCGCCTTCTTCTTCCTTGGCTTCACCACGACTTCGCGTGCCTGGGAGAACTCCTTCTTGCATTCGGCAATCTCCACGCGCAAGTCGTCTACCCGATCATGCAACTCTCTTTCCTTCTCTTGCGCCTTGTTGGCGATGCCATCAATCAGCTCATAAAGCTCCGCCATCCTTCTCTCGAGCCCGTTAAACTTGGTTTCCGTGTAGACCAAGTGTGTGGCAAGCTTCTCTTCTAAGCTCTGCTCCAAGACGTGGATTTGGTGGTCTCCTCCGCTAGCCATGTCTACTCCACAAAGCTCCCTTGACGAACCTGCTCTGATACCAACTGTCACGGGCTTAGAGTTTCAGCACCACTCTAGCTGCTCCTGTGCGGCACCAAGACGTTGCTTCTACTTTCGCAAGTACTTGGTCAACCTAACTCCCGTGCACACCTTAGCCAACACATTCCCCTCGTGCGCTTACTAGTGTTGTAGTGGCCCTCGCCCTCTCCCCACTTGGCTTGCACACTCACACACACTAAGGCACTTAAGTTGACAAGGAAAGAACACTTCTATTACTTTAAAGAATGCTTTGTACAAGGCTAGTTCTCAAACTCTCTACAAGGCTCTCAAGACTCACTCTAAGACTTGTTACCTACAAAATGAAGTCCTACCTCTATTTATAGGCATTCCCATCGCTAATGGATGGCTAGGATGCATTCTAACCAATGGTGGAGATCGATTCTCTAGAATCTTCTCCCACCTTCTTTACACTTCCATACTTATCTACAAGTATCTACAATATTCTAGAACTCTCCATACTACTCCACACAATTCTGGAGAATTCTAGAATATGCTACACATATTTAGAATCTTCCACACAACTCTAGACAATTCCGGAAGACTTTAGAAACTCCACTCGCCATGCAGTTGCCATGCAGCGTCCTCCTCAGTGTCTGTGTGTCGCCTGCGTGGCACAACCTCCATAGGCGGGGCGTGACATTAGGCTGCTATAGGCACCACTATGGAAAGAAATTGTCAGATGATCCCACCATCAACCATGTGATCACCAATTAAAACGTTTCAAGCAAGAATTTATTTAGTTATTATTATTATTATTATTTTTTCAAACAATAAAAGTTGATCAACTAAGATATTATAAAAATTCAGGAAAAAAAATTGAATATGAGAATTGATTCAATTGAATAAATTGGGCCACCAAATGACTTTATTGTCCAAAATTGTTTAATAATTTCTCCTGTTGTGAGTGGGCCAACATCATCACAATTAAACTGTGAGTTGTTAAAACTTAAAACTAGGAAACATGGTTAACGGTC